TAATGCGGACTATATGCAAATTAGTATACAAGCATGCAGTGGCCATTTTGTCGCCAATTTCTGGTACTGAACAATATCACATTTTAACACTACACCGATAATGTAATTTATCACTGCACAAATCTCATTTATCACTGCACAAATTGGTTATCACTGCACCTTAGAATAATCCCTGGTGTAAAAGCACTTTCTAGAGTCAGTTGTAAGCTATGAATTTTATTAAGTGTAATATGTAAATTATTTTGTAAATGTGCATGGGGGCAGCCTTGCATGGGTTCTTATGACCCGTTCGATACCTTCTCGTTTGGAAACTAGCTGTTACTGTTCCTAATAAAGCTGTTAAAACAAAAAATACTATATTAAAACATAGTACTTGGCGTGCTCTCTTTAATGCGCAAAATTAATTTTTCTTGTCTTGGATGCGCGCGCGTTAATTAGAATCACTGTTCAATTATATAACAAACGTACTTGCAGGGAGGTGAGTCCGGGATTGGACGCACCGAGGGTGGCTGGAAGTTTCCCGAACTTACCGAGCGAAGCGAGGTGAGTTCGGGAAACTTCCAGCCACCCGAGGTGCGTCCAATCCCGGACTCACCGAACCTGCAAGTACGTTTGGTTTTTATCCCATACACCGAGCCATACACACATTTGTAGCTCTTCGCGATATATTCGTCGATGTTTTGTGAACATTTTCCCGGCCAAAAAAATCACTGGGCAAGAAAATACTTCTTTATCTACGTCTACATTACCTTTATTGCATTTTTTCTTTGGTTTTTCTTCAGTCTCAGTATGTTAGTCACCGAAAAAAGTTCTTTAAAGTTTAGGTTTATCGGCTAAATCTTGTCCGCCATATTTGTTATTGTTATTGCAACGTAAGCAGGTTAGCGGGTGAGTTCGGGCGAAAAGCAGGTGAGTTCGGCAAAAAGCAGGTGAGCTCGACGACAAGCTCACCTGCTCTAAACCAATCAGAAAGCCGCTTTTAACACAGGTATGGGATAAGGGGATAACCTAGCTTTGAACCATTGACATAGGTGTTTACACATTGGAAACTGTATGGCATCCTGGCGAATGAAATTTTAGCTTTGTCTCAATTTCGCCCCAATTTTTGGCTTTTGAAATAGTCAGAGAGCTACAGGTAATTTTACGTACGTTCTCGAGGAGCAAATCCATTTTGCTCTCAAATTGTCGTTTGTATATCCAACATAACAATTATGGGTGCTGTCTGGCCCAATTTTTCTTGTGAGCATCGGCCAACACGTTTTCTTCAATTTCATTATAGCTAAAACTATTATATTGTCAACTAAAATGGTGAAATTTCAAGTTCGTTTATTAGAAAACTATATAAGTTGCATCATCAGAATTCTCATAAAAAAACGACATATAAGACATTATACCGGTTACCTTGGTTTTTCGAGCAGTTACTGAGTTATTGCTGCTTCAAAATGTGAAAAAAATCAAAATGGTGCAAATGTCCTGGGCGCTGGGCGTTTTCAAAGAATAATAGAGTTTTTTGAATTTGAAACAAAACGTGCTGGCAGGAGTCCACAGGAAATTGAAATGCGTCCAACATTTAAAAATATACTTATTATATGGACAATGGTTTTTTACTCGAAACTAAAAACACTCGAGAACTCATATATATACCACGAAATCCGGGACCAGATGCGCGAATTTTCCGTATTTCACGCTTAATAGTGACATACGAAGTTCGAAAATTCCCGCCATTTTCATTTTTATTGTATCGAAAATACAAATGGTCTTTGGTTCGTATATAAAACGAAATTAAAGTTGGTAATAAAACAAAAACATTAAAAGAACATCTTGAGATAAGTAAAATTTATTCTAGTTTTACGTTACTTTCGCACTTTATTTACTTAGATAGATAGATAGAAACTTTTATTTAAACACGCTAACCATTGTCAACCTAGGCTGATTTCCACAAGGGGCATGTACAATAATAAAATTACAAAGATATAGTATATAGTAAGATATTACATACAGTAAGAAATATATATATATATATATATATATATATATATATATATATATATATATATATATATATATATATATATATAATTGTTGTCTTTCTACTTAAAATTAATTAAGTCGCAACTCTGAGTTTCACGTTTTCACGATCTTCAGGCGACGATGTATGTTCAACTAACTCTTCCTGCTTGATGACGTTGATATCCGTTGTGCTGCTTGCGTGACTGAGTTTGCGTGCGTGATTGAGCTTGCGCACGTTCAAACTTTTCGGCCAAGAATCGTTTTTGGTGGACGCACTTCGAGAACAACTCGCGTCTTCTATTTAGCAAATTTGACTTATCCGCTTTTAAAATGCAAAGTTTCTCTTGGAGGCAAAGGTTACATCTCTTTCCACCGCTGGAATACGAGGCTGCTCGTTTTAGGATAGACCAATTAATCGTGAAGTCCTGCTGCTTTTCTTTTAAGTTCCACACGTATTTTGAGAGCTCCGTATTGTTCCTGTATATAACATTATTGAAAGATTTATTGTGGTTATATAACCGTGTCTTAAAGGTGTTTCACGTCATGCCAATGTATTCTTTAGGTTCCGAATTGTTGGTTACCACCTCTGCTTTATAAACTAGGCAGTCTAATAGGCATTTCTTTTGAAGAGGACATTCGTTGCTATTATTACAATTGCATGTGGCGCTGTATGTTGATGATGATGTTTGGGTTGTCGATTTCGGTCTTGATAGTATTCTGGTGTTATGCTTAGAAATTATACTCTTGCAATTATCCATGCAGCTGTAACTGACTTTCACCGAGTTACGATTAAATATCTTATGAAGGCAATTGGAGGGTGGGAAATGTTTGTCAATTAGATTGAGGAAGATCTTGCCCACATTTGTTCTTACGTTCTTGCTGAACGGTGGATTGAACCAAATTATGTTTCGTTGTCTTCGTTTATTACCACTACCGTTGTTGCTTGAGGTATAATGCAAGTTCGCATGATAGTTGCTGTGGTTCAATGCGCTTTCATACATGGGTGCAGCGGCTGAAAAGGCATTCTGGTCGGATGATAATTGCGAAATACGTTTGTTCACTGATAGCGGGATTTGCTTTATGATTGATGGTGGATGATTCGAATGACTGTTGATGAAAAGGGGGTCATTATTAGGTTTCCGGTAAGGCTTGTAACTCTGCTCGTGTAAATTCAAAGTTAAGTCGAGGAAGTTGACGGTTTGGTGGCAAATTTCGGCTGTTATCTTTAACTGGAAGTTCTCTGCAAACAACTTGTGCAGATCTTTTCTTGCCTTATCGGCTAGACGTTTGGAAGTTCCCTTCAGTAAAATAAGTCCATCATCACGATAAAGACCAACGTAATCTTTCCCGTATTTCTCAGCTAAGGAGTTTAGAATAAATAAGCCGACTAGCTCACATACCTCTGCGCCGTCGTAACTTCCCATTGTAACGTCAAATGTGGTGTTGCTTTGCCGTTTTTTCCAGATGTTACCACCATTGAAAAGGAGGGAGTTTCTTGCGTGTTTAATGATTGACACATGTTGTTCAGGGATGGTAACATAATTTCGAGCCCACGAAATTGATTTATCTAGAAGATCCTCTGTAATGGAGGGATAGAATTCAGCTATGTCAAAGGAAATAAACGAGTACCTTTGTTTGTTTTGAATGTTCTTAAACCAATCAATAACTGATAAGGAGTTTTTCCATTGCTGCACGCCAATGTTATTTCTAATTTGTGAGTTAATGTCATCAAGAATAGTTTTACTAATCTTTCCGAGATCACTTTTCGCTGGGTTTATCAGGCGATAGGTTGGGTTGACTTCAAAATTATCTTTGTGGTCTTTAATTGTCACAAACGCTTCTTTAGTTGCCATGGTTTCAATGCGGTTACCGATGGAGAGATCATTTGCAAGGTCCCTAAGATCACAGTTTATGTCTTCTAAAATGTCATTGTCGACTATCTTGTAAGTTTTAGTGACGTTGTCATTCAAGATTTTGTTGTAGTTGTCAGCAGATGTCTCGTAAACATTTCTGGTTTTATCCGCGAACACGAAAACGTTTGGCGATGATTTAACCTTTTTAAGATCATTATCTAAACTATCAAGAAATGTATCTGTAACCTTTCTGAACTGGATATTTTCCATCATATTAATAAGATCTTCCTCAAACGCTTTCATTTCGATAACAACTGGTGGCGATTTCTTAGATTTCAAACCGAACTTGTACTCCGCGGTGGCATTTGGTTCATGAAGGAAGAAATGCGCTTTCCATCTCATTCTGTTTACCACATTTTCCACTTTGTCGATAAGTCTTTTCCGATAAAAGTCTTACGATGGCAGTCCAATGTTTTTCAAGGAATAGTTAAATCATATATATATATATATATATATATATATATATATATATATATATATATATATATATATATATATATATATATATATATATATATATATATATAAAGGCATTGATACTTTATATATGATGATTATTAATAATGCATATGAAAAAATTGCTTAAGTTAAAAATTAATTAATAAAAATAACAAAATTATTGCAAGAGCCTCGTAACTTTTCATGCATCTTTTGGACTCATGCAACTTTGATGTTCTTTTAAAAAAATCTTACTCGTGCATGTGTTTTTTCAAACTGGACTCAAATTCGTACCCTTACATCTATCTAATAGTAGATAAAGAATCCGACATCCAACAAACCTCGGCAGCAAAATATATAATAAATTCTTTATAAGCTGCGGAGTAATACAGGCAACAAAATTACTGCACTTGCATGCTACAAAAGCTGAATTGAACGATAATTATACAGTGGACAGTTTCATGTTGAAATTGCAGCATCCGAGCGAACATGCGGAAACATTTTTACAATGGCTTGATATGAGTTCTTGTTGCAACAACTTCTGATTCTCATTCTACTATATCTTTATCTTGCGCAGCAATCTTTTTCTTTAACAACTCGCCAATTTGGCAGAGATCTCCACTAAATCCCTTTGGACACTCACACCTGTAAGGATCGATCAGAACCAGGTCCATCTTTGAGATAAATGATCTTCTTTCCCCCATTTTTACAATTTTTCATTTTATGACATGGAACCTGCAAAGCAAATGTGTTAGACTATTTAGCTCACCATAAACTAAGAGAAATTCAGCCTGCATGCAAATTTAATTATTTAAGCTGACATGCATAACAGAATAAGATCACAAGTTAACTATAATAATTATTGGTCCGCAGTGGATGTCCTTAAATAAAGCTAACTTTTTTCATTAAAAATATTATCGGGACTATAGAGTAAAAAGATGCAATAGTGTATCAAAAGTATACAATTTTCGCATAAATATATAATTGAGTCCAAAGGATGAGTCCAACTTTAACTCTAAACCATTTTAGCGCGAGCGGCCGATTTAAACTACACAACTTTTGCCTAAAACTGTCGCATGCAACCTGGTTAAAGCTTTAGTTGTACTGTGTAAATCAAGCGCACAACTCGCCTATACGTGAATACGTCGTCACTCGCATGCTGCATGTTTTGTTATATAGCGACGAAATAAAATAACCTATAGGCTACTTAAACGGTTTCAGCAACATATTCTGACGAAGTGTTACCTGTTGTGTATTTTTCTTCTCTTTTATACATTCTTTATTTTAACACAAACTTGGAAAATAGTATCTTCTAAACTTGCGAGTTCTGCCAAAATTTTGTTTATTTATATAGGCCTATGTACGTAGTCAGTTCGGGTGGGTAACAACTTTTCCCTTGCTGCCCGGTCGGATGGCACCCTTGCTGTATATAACAATTGCGGTATACTGTAGCTATTGCTAATAGGAAAATTTGTTAAGATCGCAAAATTCTCATGCATTCTTTTCACTCGCTGCTTGGCAAAGTTTATTAAATATATATTTTACTGCAGTTTCGTACCTTTCTTGGAGCAACAGGATGATAAAATATCCAGCCTTTGTCATCAGCGTTGCAATCATGAAAGTTGTGGCCCAGCGTGTGTGTTAACTGGCAGTTTGGAGTTTTCTTCTGGTGCTTTTTCTTAAAATTGTATCCGGTACAGAATGGATCTTGCAGGCAATCCATGGCACAGTGAATCTGGAAATCATACGTCGCTTCAGACAGAATATAATCTTTTATTAAAGGGTAAACATCTACAACGAAAAGATTATTTATCAGGCAAAGATGACACGGAACCTTAAAAAATCAATATATATATTCTCCATCAGTTAGAAGCAAGAATAAGGACGTCCTTAAGATTAAACTTTAATACCTTCATACAGCAAGCGAAAAGGAATCGCAACGTTCGTGCAGTTATCTTCAGGCATGCAGTATTCTTGTTCCACTGTAACTGCATGTGGCAACAAGATCAGGAACAGAAATCGCACAAATATGAGCACTGTTCGAACAAAGCGTTTCATTTTGTTGTTATGAGAAAACACAGACTCAGGTTGACAATTTTTTTGTTGTTTTGCGGTGAACGTCGACTGCAGAACTGAACTAAAACGTCTAAGTGGCAGGACATTTAGACGTTATATATAGCTACATACGACGCGCTATGTGCATGGCACGGTAATTCCTATGCAGTTATAAGCTCATTAAACATGTTTACATTGCAAAATTAACAGTAATATTAAAAACGTGCGTAGCTCTAGACATTTATACGGTTTTCCACTTTGGTTATTTGAGCGTCTTAATTATAAAATTGCCAAGTGTCGCCGGAATCTCTTTAAATCGTCTGTCAAAGTCTGCCTCGTCCCTCGTCGCTTCAGTTGGGAATAGAGATCAGTGGAAAAACAATGGGAGCGCGGTGCTTAATGGGAATGCGACTCGGAAATCCCGCATCCAAGATGGCGTCCATTGTAAATTGTATTAATGGCCGAGATAATGCAAATAGGGAGGATTTTTCAAGGTCGTTATGTATGGCGAGGAAACGTTAAAATAGATTTCCTGTTTTTGAAGAAGGGTACGAAGGTATGTCCATTTACATTTTACATATTTTACGCTCAAAAATGGATCAATTTTCGCAATTTATTAATATATGTGCATATTTAAAAATATCGATCTTGTTTTGACTGTTGTAGAGTGTAGACATTGGCAAGTAGTTCTTGGTTCGACGTTTCTGGAGAAGGAACGTTATTTCCATATTTGGCCAAGATCCGAAAGAAGTTGCCAAAATATACGGAATGTTTTTTTTTGCACTCTGTCAAACTAAAGACATACGCTGATCAAAATATTTCCCTGTCGAATCTCAGGTAAAATATTGTTAAATTAATTTCTATTAATCAATCATTTTATAGCCTTTGCACCATGTGCAAGTAGCAAGGTTAAGGATGCCACCTTGAATATATTGTTAATTGTTTTCACCATTGTGTTTGCATAATTGCACCCCTCGCAAATAAGCAAATTTACCTAATATAAGGAATTTTATTGTTTACACCCCTTGCAGGAAGGGTCTATGCCAAGTCTATTGTTTTCAGTTTTTGAGGCTTAACACCATACTGACTTGGTTTTGTTAATGCAATTTTCAAAACAAACCCTTGTGCACTTACTTAGCAATCAGCTGTATCAGCATCAGGTTTGAGTGATTCAAACAGTGATAGTACCTTAAAAAAGGCTTGCTATACATGGGGATATCCCTCTTATCAGGCAAAGCCAGCTTTCACAGAAACATCCCCCATGTTTGAACCTCTTTTAGCATACTGTTCTTATTAATAATTTCATTGGGGAAAAAACATAGGTGTGTGGGGCCTAACCAGGTGCCAGTTAGATCATGTATCAAGGTTGTCAGAACTCAGAAGTGGGGGGGGGCAGCATAAGCCCCCCCCCCCATCTTCCATTTGTATGAGCAAACACACACAAAAGAACTGAAAAGTGCAAAAGCAATTCAAATTTATTCTTGAGACCCCATCCCAATATTGATTTACTTCCGACAGCCTTGTGTATATACATGTAATAAGTTTTCAGAAATATCAGATTTTCTAAGAAGATCTTTTCTTGTAGGCTACTAAAGAAAACAAGAAATGAAACAAGATGGAATGAATATTTATTAAATTACAGATTTTGATACAAATTTAATTATGATACAAATTTATCTATTGCCTGAATATTATAAAAAGTACTCAGGCCAAATAAAAATAATAGTTGGCTTCAGGTTTCTGACAGACGTGTCAAAAATATGACCGGCCATAAACATATTATTGACATTTCCCAAGCAGGGATCATCTTTTCGTAAATATCAGAATATATAAATAGTCATCAGAGTCATTTGCTACAAAGTATTTTGTTTGCTCATAATTTAATCATTATCTAGTCATGTTAATCCTTGACGCATTTGTTTCTCGCAAAACATGTGTAGCTCCCGGTTGATCCCGTGTGGCACGTCTGATTATGTGTTTTTAAATAAAATGCTTTTCCAACCTACCTACCCATATAAAACATGGCTGTGAAACCTGAAACCAACTATTATGTTTATTTGGCCTCAGTAATATAAGTACAAAATATGTACAAAATGCTCTACAATGTACAGACATATGTCACCATTTATTATAATCATATCTTCAAGGAACTTGTAAACATAATATTGCAGAGATCTGTAAAAAAATGCTTTCATTGTTAATTCAGAGCAGGCACAGATTTTCTGTGTGTGTGTGTGTGTGTGGGGGAGGGGGGGCGCACCCTCCCAGAAATGAATTGCACCTCCCAAAGGCATTTGGCACCCCTACAAATTACATATATTTCGATTTGATAGTTTCATATTTGATTATTCTTACTACTAAATTTGTAAAATTACCAATATTATGGTCTCAGATCTCGCCATGCAGGCCTAGAAAAAATTTTGTTAAACTTTTTCCTTGGCCTTTCTGGGTGTTGCCACCATGCCCCGGACAAAGCAAGCAGCAGCACCCTCCCCAGATATTATCCACCCCCTGAACGAAAATATGAAAATCCGTCTCTGACTCGGAGGGAAAGAAGTATTATTTTGTGTAGTAGTGGGATGGATTCACTTGGGGGTATTGGGGGAGGGGATTCTGTGTGAAATTCTTGGCAATTATCAAACAAAATAATAAAGGGATGGATTAGTTAACATTGTTTTTTTAAGATTTTATATTATTAAGCTTTGTTAGTTCGGCCCTGACGATAACTCCATCACGGCTCAGCGTTTACTTTCAATGTGATGATCTTGAGTACGTACAATCATCGTGTATCATTGATAATATCAAAAAATATTGCCCAGCCCTATTTACTGGTGATGACGTGGTATTGCTGAACCTGGGGG